AAGAAAAAAGCATACAGCCGGTTCACCTTTAATGTGCTGCCTAGTACCGCTGCTAGGAGCATCAGCTACTAGTTTTTCAGCTCACTATGCTGAGCATTGTTCTGGTGCTTTACACTTAGCTCTCACAGCAACCCCCACAGGCTAGTACTAATATTAACCCCATACTGTGGTTGAGGAAACTGGGGAATCCAGGCAGTGAAATAACTTGCTCAAGGCCACATCACCAAGAAGCAGAAAACCACTGTGCTGAACACAGACAACCTGTATCCAGAGTCCATGCTCTTAAGCGTTATATCAACCTTAATCCCAAGAAAGCATAACTGATTTTGATAAAAAATGTTCTGCCTCACAATGAAAATACCTGTAATTTATCAGCCAAAGGAGGTTAGCACCTGATTCTTTGGAATTATTTAATCAATAAAAAATTTTCGACTTAAAATACTAAGAGTCATCCACACATGTCCTGAGAAAACTCAACATTCACTCTGATTTGCAATACTCTTGACTGATGAATGAATCCTGTGTGGTCAAAGTCGACAGCCAAACTTTTGTGCTGCATTTTTTTGGTGAAATTTTAAACAGTTTCATTATTGATTCCTGTATGAAGGCCGATCTGAACTGTCCCAAAATTTACATTACTGTATTTTTTTTTTAACATTTAATGGGATCCCTAGCAGCATGTCTCCCATACAAGCCACTTAAACCAAACCTTGAATTTTATCACCAGTCGCAAGATAAAACCAGATGAATATAATTTCTGATACAACCTGATTCTTTTTCATTAATGACATACTTCTGGAATCTTGGTTTTTCCACAACTACAAACACACACACACACACACACATACACTCCATCTCCCTACTTAATAAAAGGCTGTATCACAATACAAAAGTCAAATTTGCATACGTGGCCTGGAAAGACCTCAAACATGCACATACTCTTTCTCCTTTTTGAAACTGCCCAAGGTGGTATTCTTGGGACAAGAGAAAAGACTGCATCTACTCAAGGCAGTAAATCATTATTTTTATTGTTTGAATTGGTTTAGAAAAAAAAAAAAGGCCCTAATCATGTATGAGAAATTTTTGCTGCTTATAACTTGTAGCCAGCATAAAAAAGTTGAAATTGTAGGCAACAAGAATTAGATTACTAATTAGATTAGATATCTGAAAGATTCCCCTCATCTACCAGACAACCCCCTGAAGTGAAAGAATAAATATTTATATATCCTTTTATTAAAATGTTAATCTTCAAATATGAACACACATGTATGACATTAATATACAAAAGGATAGCAACTCATGGTCCCGATCCTCGAGGAACTTCTAATTTAGCAGGCATGATGAAATCTGTACACCAACAGCACCAAAGTAACAAAGGATTCAAAATTCACATTTGTGATGTAATGTATGTTGACTAACATAACAAAATAAAATTAAAAAAAGATAAAATTCACATTTGTGTGTCATGTTTTGGTATTCGTGTACGGCATTTCTCTGCTATCTACAAGTGCACAAAAAGCACCTGAAAAGAAACACCTTTCATCCAGCTGTACATACCTGACGTGGCATCAGGCATATAAAAGGTGCAACAAATATGAATATAAATTTCAGGAAATCCTTGTTTTTTAATTTAAATGTCACAACATAGCTATATTTTCAAAGCACTACAGGTTTTCGGTTAGAGACACTGTGGAAATACTCTACTATAAATTCTTCTAAAGTCAATTTAAATTTTATTTTTCAAAGCAATAGTAATTTCATCACATGGTCGATGATGCAACAGAAGGAAATCAATCACCGGATTATTACAGACATCCTTCACCTAAAAACAACACTGACACCCACTCAACTAGATTATACAATATTTATTTTAAATGATGTGCCACATCCATAAGAAATAACACTCTAAAAATATTCAGTTGCATATTGCACATGTATTTGTTCTACTTTAGAGCAAATTCTGCACATTCTATATATGTATATAGTAGGTCCCCTTCATGTGTGGGGGATATGTTTCAAGACCCCCGGTGGATGCCAAAACTATGTAATACCAAACCCTATACATAGTACGTTTTCCCCTATACATACATACTTATGACAAAGTTTAATTTATAAATTAGGCACAATAAGAGATTAACAACAATAATAAAACAGAACAATTATAACAATATACTGCAATAAAAGTTACGTGAATGTGGTTTCTCTCAAAATATCTTCATGTACTGTACTCACCCTTCTTTTTGTGATAATGTGAGATGATAAAACGTCTGTGTGTTGAGATGAAGTGAGACGAACGATGGAGGCCCTATGACCTAGTGTTAAGCTACTATTAACATTCTGAGGATCATTTGCTTCCAGACCATGGTTCACCAGGGGTAACTGAAACCATGGGAAGCAAAACCACAGATAAACAGGGAACCACCATACATCCACAAAAATTTCGAGACAAAAATTTTCCACATAAAGAAAAATTTGTGGAAATAACTTCAATTGTTCCCTCAAATTTGGCAAAATGTAATTTCAGTCAAATATTCAGATCCAAAAATAATCAGAAAAGACTAATGTTAAGAAAAGTGTTTTAGAATAAGAATTATGAAAATCTTAGGTTCAGATAAAAGCACACAGTAAAATCTACAATACTCTTACCTTTAAAAAAGTGACTATGTCTAGTTATAATACTACCACTTGAGCTTCTAAAACACCTTTAATTCTGAAAAATTACAATATTTTGTACATGCCTTACTTCAATACAGTCTTTTGAGTCTCAGCATGAGGCTCCTAACCTGTTGTATTGCACAAATAGAATGAATACAGACATGTGACATGACCACTCCAATTCTCCAAATAAAGGGGAGGGATACAGAAGGAAAATACAACAAAGTAACATTAATGAAAAAGATATATAGGCCAACCACATATGTTGAAAACTCCATTAAGAAACAAATAATACAAATAGCACAAAAAATCATTTTGACGTGATTAAATAAGGAGAGGAACTAAAACACCACCCAACACTGGGAATGTTGTCGTAGAGAGCAGGGAACGCAGAAACTGGGACTGTTACTAAAGGTGGAAGCTAGGGCCTAACACCCACTCTAACACGGAAGGGATAGAGGTAAACACAAATAGGTCCAGGTGAAGTGAGTATGCCCGCAACCCTGAGATTGAGGAAATTCACTAAGTCTCGTAGGCACTATGAAAATCTTGGGACTCAACATCCAGCAGCCTCAAGTGTGGTCATCCCCCAGGATATCCTTCACAGAAGAACAGCTTTATGAAAAGATTAAACAACAGTCCTTGATTCATTCACCTAAAGGTGACAATACTGTGTTTTTCCTCTGAGGAGTCCTAAAGTGCGATTTTAAGTCTCCCAATGTATATACTTCCCATTAAAAGAAACTGCCCACCTCTTTGCACATCCGTGAACTTCCTTTAACAAGAGACACTGAACCTCAATTCATCTCAATTCCATGAAAATGCCTGAGTTAAAAACTCTATTCTGGCACCAGTCAACCAATCAAGAGCACTTAGTAGCACTTAGACCATTACAGTTTCTGATTTTGATGGCAGAGAGCATGAAGAGAGGGGGCTGGGGATAAGAATGACACATTTCGTTTTAAGACAAGCCAGGCTTAACAACAACAACAAAAAAGCGGGAGACAAACAGAGGCTGTGGTTGACATAATTGCCTCTGTGACTTATCAGTTTTATTTTCATCTTTAATCCTCGATTTTATATAAAGAGCTTTATTCTCATTGGACACAAAAATGATATTCTCTAGTAGGTGTATGTAGTCTTTTCAGTATGCCACAGGGAAACCTCATTTACTGACCTGGAATGATTTGGGAAAGTATAAAGCCATTAAATAGTGATGTAAAGCATAAAGAGGTAATATAAGCTGATAAATATGTAACTGGACGTATCAGACTGTGAATAATTCTTCAGAACTGATAGCGATAAAAGTCCCTTCTCCATTTGAATGAACTGCCATTTTCTGAAACTTTAACAGACAGCAGATTATGCTCCAATAGCTAAACCTTTTCCTTTTATTTATCTTTTTCAATTTTCTCAGGGACTCTGTAATTGGTTTTTCACACAAAAATCAAACCAAGCCTGTTTCCTTTTTCTTTTTTTTTCCTTGAGCCAATTTTAAGGCACTGTTCTTAACCCTAAATACACAAGCCCACGCTGGTTAACTGCCAGTGTCGCTCTGGAACTGCAGGTGACAGATGCAGCCAGAGAGCTCACAGATGTGGACTGGCTGCAGTGTGAGTCTTATTGCAATGAGCACACTGACAGAGCCCGCAGATGCACATCTCTGCAGAAGGAGTCTTAAAAACCGTCATTCCCAATTAAATTTACTTTTAGGGCTCTTACTATCATTAAGCGCTTATCCCAATTCTCATCCTTGCTTAGCCCTACCCACAATTCATTTTATCTTCCTTAGTTCCAGACTCTTCATCAAACCTAATTTGGTTAATAGCAATAATAATAATAAAGCGGGGCTGTTGGCATTACCAGCACCAGGAACCGCGAAGGTGCTATTTGGGAGCCTTCCCGCCGCGGCAGAGGCCGCTGGAAGTTTTCTGGTAAGCAATGGACCCCTAGCATCTTTGCAGGATCCTTCTTTCTCTGGGTGAGAGCGTCACAGAGACAGATGGGGAATCACCCTTCTCCTGTCTTTCCTAGGGATGGCTAACACGAAAAATAAAATACCTCTTTTCTTATGGTACACCCTGCTCGATAACGCTCGCAGGCAGGGACGCCCCGCCCCCACGCCGTTATCCCTGATGAACTCCCCAAATATCACCCTGTCCTCCTAAGAAGTGGAGCCTCCCTCGGCCCCCGGACCAATTGCCCCCACCTTAGTTCCTCTCCTCGGGTCGTCCGCCCCCGCACCTCCCACCCGCAGCACGGCCCCGCTCTCACACACCACCCCCGGCACTCAGGCCGCCCAGTCGCCCGCGCTCCCCCCAGCCCAGGGTCGCCTACGGGGTTACCGTGGGAAGAGGGGGCGGCGGCAGAGAACGCGGCGGCAGCGCTGCTGCCGGTTACGTCGGACGCGAAGGATAAGCTGGAGGACAAGGATGATGATGAGGCGGGCGCGCTCCCCAGTCTCCATGGAACTCCCGCCCCGGCCCGTTGCTAGGAGCCCCCGAGGCTCGGGCTCCGTCTTTCGTGCTTTGTTGTTCCGGGTACTGGGCGGCCGCTTCTTCCCCGCGACAATAAATAGACCAGGCGCGGGGGGGAGCATAGAGACAGAGCGCGGAGGCTAGAGCGCCGCCGGACAGGGTGCCCCTGGGTTCCTCGCTAGCCAGTCATTTCCGGCTCTCACTGCTCCCGTCACTTTCCCCCCGCCCCTTTCCCCACTTTCCCTTCCTCCTTCCTCGTCCCCCGAGGCGGGCCCCTCCCGCTCTTGGGCTTGGTGATGTCCGGGTATTGGGGGCAGGGACTGCTATTGGGCTGGACGTTTTTTGCTTGAGGACCGTCTGAAAAGATTTCGAAAAAAACTGCGTGACCTTTATACATTTTTAGCTGATATCTAAACTTAAGTACGTAATTCCTGGCATACAGTATAATATAAAAGGACTTTAAATTTTTTTGTCAAAACCATAGAACCTTCTCGTTAGCTCATTCAACTTAAAGGTCCACTGTTTAATATAATTAGCACAACTAGTTCTCAACAAGTAAATTTATTTTCTAAGACATTTTTCTGTCTGAAAAAGTCCTCTTTCGCTTTTTCAGTTAAACGCGTTAATTTACGACGCGATAAAGCTTTCATTAAGGAATTCTAATTCTAGTCCTAAAATACAGCGACAGGGGATGATAGCGGATGGATGGATGGATGGATAGATGGATAGATAGAAAGATAGGGCAGGGAGCTTAGGTCATACTTCTGTCGCCTCTCCCTTCGCTATTCCTTACTCAACTTGGGTTTGTGGTCAGGGCTCCGCCTTGGAGCCCAAGCACTTCAGTGGCTTTTTCGCAGTGTAGCCAGATCCGGGAAGGATGGACGGGGGAAGAGGGCTGCTGCAGGTTGGGGCTGGGGCGCGGAGCAGAGCGGCGGCTCAGGCCAACGGGCGTAGGAGGGCGCTCACTTGCTAAATTTCCTGAGACCCTTCCACGGCTCTGCGCTCAAATAGCCCTGGAATGATCCGGGGACCCCGGGAGGCGCACACTCGCCAGTTTGAACGGCCGCGCTGGGGCCCGATGAGCCCTCGGTGGGTGGCCTGAGAGACGCTATCGGCAGGAGCGAGACTCCAGTAACGGCCTGGGGAGCGCCAGGCAGTGCAGAACCTTGAGACGCCCCCGGAGCCCTACTCTCAGGCTGGCACGGGCCTCTGTTCCCAAGCTCAGTTGCTGCAGTCAGAAACCTCTGACCCTGGATGAAGCCAATGGGCAGCTCTGATTTAATAAACGGCAACAAGGCGGGATCATAGGTACCTGGCCTCTGATTGGTGTGACTCCTGGATGAAAAATGATAAAGCCACTGTCCTTTTGGGAGAAAAGGTGAAAGCTGACTTCAGAGGATTTGGGAGTATGCAACCACTTGGGTATTTTATTATTTATCGGGTCTCCAAGAATGCCTCTTGATCTTTTGCTTCCCGCTCTGTTCAGAAAAATATCTGAACATTTAAAAGCCCTGTAGATTTATGGAATTGCCATTTTCTTTCAATTTCTGTACTAACATTTTCAAATAATATTAAATAATTGTAGCTTGTGTTAGGTGTAAGTGAAGAAAATAAACAAGAAGCTTGATTGGAAAGATGTCTGTTAGTAGGGAGATGACTTTTAGGAGGTAACATCAGCTGTTAACTGAAAGGGATGGAAGTGGAAGGGATGTTCATAGAGTGTTACCGGCAGAGGGAACAAGATGCTAAGAGTTTGCTATGCTGGAGCATTAGAGTGGATGGGGCATCCTGATCAAATCGAGGGAAAGAGTGACATGAGATGAAATTGGAGAGAGACTAAGGTGTTATACACCTCGTGCCTTGTAGACATGGAAAGGAGATTGGATTTTCTTACAAGTGCTAGGAGAAGTGAAGTGTTTTAAGCTGTAGCATAACACAGTCTGATTTACCAAGGGAATAACAAGGGAAAGGCCGTAATCCAGTGATTAGTGTCACTGCTGAAAAGTCAATTTTCCTGCACTTGTGACCAACTTTAAGGTCTTTATGAGGCAACTTTCTTTCAGCGGACTAGCAAGATACTTGGTATAAAGCATGTCAATCGTTTTGGAATCCCTTTTGTCATACGATTTTTGTCAACAATTTTCTCACTACAACAGTTCCACATTCTGGAAATGGATTTTGATTTTTCTGCAAGCATCATTCTCCATAGACCTATTGAATGTCTATACACTATCACATTAGCCCATACACCATTCCTCTGCCCAAGGAATTCACTTCATGATGAAAGAAGTAAGACAATGAGATAAAGTCTGTGGGCTTCCTTGGTCTTAGAATGTGCTCCATTATTTATTTTTTTAAATAATTTTTTATTGTTACGTTAATCACCATACATTACATCATTAGTTTTTTATTGTGCTCCATTATTTAGGTGCCAGGTCAGATTATAATATTATTCATTATTCAGGTGCTAGGTAAGGTTAGAATATACAGTATATGTTCCAAACCAAGACTCTCCATTTACACAGAAATTGATACCGAGGCTGGGAAAATAGTGAGATTTATCTGTTAGATCAGTACTACTTAGTATGTGGTGTATGGACCAAAGCCAGTTTGCAAACTGCAGTGAAATCAGCAATGAAATAAGTATAGAAATTGAGAGGAGCATTTCAAAACTTCTAGTAATTTGACATTAATATGGTATCCAAGCATGCAGTTTTATATTTATGAAAGCATTTGCCTGCATCGGGTTGCTAACTAAAAACAATCAAACAGTGATTCTTCACAATAGATGGCTATGCCTACTAAGGCTTCTAGCTTTATGAACTTGGTTTAAAAAAAAATCAAGCTATTGGAATATATTGGCTACTTATTGCTCCCTTAGTGCTATGAGAGTGACAAACTGGTTCAGTAGAGCCATTCTGAAAGAGACGGGCAATGGTAGGGTGGTACTTATATAGCTGTTAAGAGGAGTCCTTTCTGCCTCCTGGTTTAGTTATCCTATATTGATCATGATCAGATAATATCTACTCTGCCAATTGAAACAACTACATTTTCTGCCCCCCATAAGGTTCATACACTAACCAGAAATGCAGAGACCCAGCAGAGCAATGGAGTCAGGGATGTCTCATTACTTAGGACTCTTCTCAAATATCTTCTCCTGTGGCCCCTTACCAATTGAAAAAGATAATTTCTCCCATTATACCAGTTGAATGGTGCACAAGTTAGGGGACAGAGTCTAAAGCTGTAACCTGGCTTTACAATCCCAGCCTGTTTCTCTCCCTATCATCGGATAGAGTCTGTGGCAAAGACAATGAACTAAGATCCAAGGTGACTGGCAGAGTTGCTAGGCCAGTTTCCAAGAGATAGAAACAAGAAGGGCAAAGTCCCTATTCAAAGCTTACTGTCTCAATGAGATTTCTGATAACAACCTAATGGATTTCCCCCCAAATGACATTGACTGACAGCCAAGTAAATTTTAAGGGATTGCCAGAAAGCCTTTGTCCTTGCAAAAGGCCTCTACTAGTGTGCTTGTCAAAGACAACATCCCAGTCTCGGTATCAGCAGAAAGATGAATTCAGTTACCAGAGCGGTCCCAGGAAATTCCTTCTCACTACTTCTCTAAGGCAGGGTCTTTGAGGATAATAGATAAAGGAAATCTTGACCCTTTGAGTGGCTGACCAAAGATCTCAATTCTCTGCTGGAGAAGAGATGCCTTCTTACCCTTATTCTTTTTTTTCTTTAAATTTTTTATTGTTATGTTAGTCACCAAACATTACATCATTAGTTTTTGATGTAGTGTTCCATGATTCATTGTTTGTGCATAACACCCAGTGCTCCACGCAGAACGTGCCCTCTTTAATACCCGTCACCAGGCTAACCCATCCCCCCATCCCCCTCCCCTCTAGAACCCTCAGTTTGTTTTTCAGAGTCCATCGTCTCTCATGGTTCGTCTTCCCCTCCGATTTACCCCCCTTCATTCTTCCCCTCCTGCTATCTTCTTTTTTTTTTCCTTAACATATATTGCATTATTTGTTTCAGAGGTACCTCTTGTCCAACAGGATACGGTATATGCTCAACCATTGCACAGTGAGTCTCCTTTTTGCCCTTTCTCATTAGTTTTTGTTATCCTGTTCCCCACCTCCTCTATTATATATTTGTGCATTGGGGGAAAATACATTATTTATCATTTAGCTAGATCAGGACCTTATCAAGATTGACTACACTCAAAGATCCTGAATTTGGGCTGGATGTGACTTTGAGTTTTCGCCTCCCACTGCATAGGGATCAAGCACATTTTCAACTGCATAAGGTATAGTTGCTTTATGTTAAGAGAAACTATAGATATGTAAAAACCAGCGTGTGTGTGTGTGTGTGTGTGTGTACACATACGTGCACTGAATAGTCAAAGGCTATCATGTAGGAAACATTTATCATTTTGTCAGCCCAGAACACCTCTCTTCCTTTAGGAAGAGTACTCTTACCTCTTATTTGGGGAACTATCTTTCCTCTTTACCTTCCTCCAATCCAGTGTGCATCCAAATGGGAGTTGCAGTAGTGATAATGATTGGCAGAGAGGCAGGCTTCTGAGCTAAGCTGGGGCAACTGTATTCAAATTGAGTTATCGCTCCCGGTTCCAAATTCACTTTATGTCTGCTCTGTGAAGATGGATCTTAATCCTTTAAATATTCTTGTTTGCTAGCTATCAGAATGTTAAGTTTTATCAGAAAAGGCTGGAGAGACATTGAAGTAGGAAAGGGCTTTGCTTCCTGCTTCCAGTGTACCTCCTGACAGGCTCTGGAAGCATGGAAGGCTTCCCTAGAATCTACTTCCTACAGCACAGGTGGCTCCCCTATGGCCACTCAGGGGTCTGAAGGACAGTCAGTGGTAAAGGAAAATCTTCCAAGGGGGCATGATTAGAACAGTATATTTGTTTGTGCACCATGTCTAGAGTGAGGGGTGACCAGAATGGGTAATTGCTAATGGTTTTTCTAGACGTACAGGGATTTGTAAGGAATAAGATTGGAAGATTGGTGACAAGGAAGTGTGGGGAAGAGATATATAGATGAATTTCTCTAAATGGGCACAAACTGTGACGATATCTGTGTCCCATTTCGATGTACACTAAAGGTATCCATTG